GTGATTAGAATTTTCCCTCATTAAAGAAGGAGCTTTTCTTCAGTGCATTGGTTTAGTTTTCATCACTAATGAGGAGTGACGGTTGATCGTTAATCCAAGGCACTGGAGATCGCACACAAGCATACATAACACATACACAGAGGTGGAACTCAGAACCTTCTTTCTTGAGGTCGGTAAATAAGGAATGAACACAATAATGTACATAACGTCACGCGTTTTATCCCCGAAAGGCTAAGGTGCACATTACGGCACTTAATGCCACTGCACAATGTAACACCCATTTTTCACTATTTTTGCCATGAGGGCCATGTAATAGGGGGTGAGCCTATTGCCATATACCGGGCATAATTCCAGACTGCGTTCTACTACTGAGATTTATTTAAAAAACCCAGTAATACTGTCCCCGTCCCGGGAATCGAATCCGAGACCCCTTGTCCGATGGTCGAACTTGCGACCAGTCGGCCAATGAGGCAGTCAGTCAGGAATGGACACGTCCAAGAAAACCACAGCTAGTGGCATAACATACTTCTCCTTCATAGAAATAACTGTCTTTATATTCCTTCTTTCCTTACCAAATGGATTCTCTTTCATTCCCAGATCATTACTTAGACCTTGCAACGATGCTTGTCATAATCCAATCATGTCCTATTCAAACAAGACCTCAATTTCCTTTCAAACTACTATAAACCTTACCCTGTAATATCAAGGCCCAATTTGCTCTGACAGTGCGTCTCATTATGTCGCTGAAGCAAATTAGAGGGCGTCGTTTGTTAGAAAATGAAGCCTAATGATACGTTTTTAAGTTAGGAATTTGTTTGATTTAATTTACTCTTTGCGGGAAATGTGGAAACCATTTTTTTTCTACCAGGTTTTTTATGTAGGTTTGTTTTATTTTTAGTATTCGTATATTCTTTTTTTATGGGATAAGCCGGTAAACGAGCAAACGGATCGGTAAGCAATCTGCGTCGTCCATGGACATCTGGAACACCAGAGGCGTTACAAGTGCGTTACCGGTCTTTTGGCGGCTTTTTGAGAATTGGGAATTTTAGGATTGGGGAGGATTCGGGGATTGGGGAAACTCGGGTAATTGGGCCTCCGGTAACCTCACTTCACACGACGAAACACAACACAAGCGTTGCTTCACCTTGGTTTTCTGTGAGGCCGTGGTATCACTCCAGTCGAGCCTGTCCATTCGTGCCGAAGCATGGCTCTTCCACACTTAAATTCATAATCTTTATCGTGTATTCGATTTTATTAATACGAAATAAAATATAAAAATAAGGCTAGCAGACTAGTGAGACCACTCTGAATAACCTATACATATCTGTAGGTGAAATTTTGACATGTTTTACGCACAATGACGAAATTCTATCTCTTGCAGGCAAATCGAATCGAAATCAGATATATCATTCAAACTGCCCGACAAGTTATTGATACCTATGTAGAATACACCTAGATCCGGCTATCTTTGTGCTAACGTCGTTATATCCTGAAAAGCCTCGACTGATACCACTGTAGAGGCTCCTCGTTAGGTCGTGAACTGAAGAGGTGTCTAGGTGTATGGTACATCTTGTTATGATCGCTTTTTGTTTTGAAGCCACTCGCCTTAACTGGTGATATTGGATTTTGTAGTTCTATAGCGCTTAAAGTTATGTCGATATTCTGGTCTATGTAGTGGTAAGCAATCGGCGTCGCCCATGGACACCTGGAACACCAGAAGCGTTACAAGTGCGTTACCGGCCTTTTGGGGATTAGGAGTTTGGGGATCGATGGGGACTCAGGGATTGGGGAGATTATGGAAGGGGAGGGCAATTGAGCTTCCGGTAACCTCACTCACACGACGAAACACAACGCAAGCGTTGCTTCACGTTTCTGTGAAGGCCGTGGTGTCGCTCGGGTCGAGCCGGCCCATTCGTGCCGAAGCATGGCTCTCCCATACTTGTGGTTTGTGTTCAGGTTCATACACCTCGAGGTCTCAGGTGTGATCTTTAGGTTCGGCTAACATTATTAATAGGTAAATCTGGACATACCATACTTGATAAGGCATCTAAATGTTGAAACTCGAAAACAGTGAAAAATACCACAAAATTCCAGTTTTCGAAAGACTTTTAACAACTGACTACCGTGTTAGCCGAGTGGTCGTAAGTGCTACTGTCGGGTTTCGGGTTCGATTTCCGCGTCGAGCAAAGTATTATTGGGGTTTATAAAAAAATAATTAGTAGTAGCACGGAGTTTTTAATTGTGCCCGGTATATGACAAAAGGCACACTCCCTATTACATGGGACTCATAATATAAATAGTGAAAAGTGGGTGTTTCATAGTACAGTGGCATTAAGTGCTGCAATGTGCACCTCTGCATACCCCTCCGGAGATAATCGTGATGTTAGGTTTGGTTTAAACATATTACACCCCGACAAAACCCCGAAGACCCCTTGCCGAGCAGTCGCACTTGCGACCACTCGGCCATTGAGGTAGTCCTACTAAAATTCTGTAAAAATATATGACATTAAAACATCAAAACACGACCTTCCACAATTATCAGAAACAGATAATTATTTATTATGTTACGAGTTTTAATACCACATTAATCCCAACAATATAATAATTGATAAATATGTAATCCACTTTATTATTATACAGATAAAGGTGAATATCGATAATCGCAATAACACAGTCGGGTACTTGTATTTTCGGACTAATACAGTAAGACAATAATATTAACTTATTTTTTATTGGATAATGCGGTAACCGACCAGTAGGATCACCTGATGGTTAGCAATCGATGTCGCCCATGGACACCTGGAACACCAAAGGCGTTACAATTGTGTTACCGGCTTTTTGGGAATTGGGAAGATAAAGATTGTGGGGGATTTAGGGATCGGGGCGGGGGGGCATCATTTGGTCTCCAGTAACCTCACTCATACGACAAAAAATGTTAATTATTTATTATTATTTCTTAAGGCAATTCGTTAACGGCAGAAACTACAATCACAAGATCGATCTACAAATGATTTTTCTTGACTACAAACAAATTCATTACTTTTGTACTAAGCAGAATCATCATCATCACCAGCCTATGAGAGGCCACTGCTGACCAAAGGCCTTTTCCCGCACGGAAAAAGTTTGAGCATTAATCACCACGCTTGCTCAATGCGGGTTCGCGATTTCGATTTCGAGAAAAGCCCAGATTTCCTCACGATGTTTTCCTTCACCGTTTGTCAGTGGTGTCTAGATAATCTTAGAAAGTACATATAACTCGGAAAAAGTCACATTGGTATTTGCTGTTGGTAAGTTCTGAACCCGCACTTTTGTGCATGAGAAGCGGGTGTCTTAAACCTCCACGACTTTCTCTGACCACAGCAGTATAGGTTTCTCCAAATAGACAACATGCAAACACTGAGCTCGATTTTAAGGTCTTTACATCAGATTACAAACAGTTTATTTAAAAAAATATATGTACCTACTAACTATCAAATATGTTTTTGTTACAGGTATGCACAAATCCACCAATAAATAGACCACATGTTCCTAAAATCCATCACCGATCCGAAGTAAGTAAGGTCTATGCAAATATCAAGGCAAATCGTGCACTTGAGTGCATGTTTAACGTAACACCAATATTATATCAGGTCACAATTTATTTCGTGTCCATTATAATGACTATGTGTTTGCTTTGAAATATTCTAAGAAGTTAATTTCATATAAAACATTATTTATATAATGAACACTGATTGGCGTGTCAGATATAACGGGTCGAAGCTTTCCGTGAATGCAATAGTTTTTAGGCGCCTTATTGGATGTTTTGTTTTTAAATTGGGTTAGCAGAATTTGGGTAATGAATTTAATCAGAATTAAAAATAACGGTTTAGTTATTAGATTGGTTAGTATTTTATAAGTATAGTACATTATTGTCATTGACATAGTATACAGCCATATATTTTAGCACGTATCCACGTTTGTACATAGCACAGACGAAAATTCCTCCCTCATGAACCAACAAAGACTTCGATAATAGCAATGAACGTTACTGCGGCTGCAAAAGCTGCTACTGGCTTTAAAATTCCCGAACTCTAAGTGTAATTGCAGTGTTATGCTCGAACCTTCTCGTATCCTATCGGAAAATCATTTCAGCAGAATTGGAACAGTGCCCGATACAAGGTAATAAGATTGTCACTATATTGGAATATACTTAGCTTCTATCCGTTCCGAACATTGGCGTTACATGCAAAACTGTCACTGGTTTAAAATGCCGGAAAATTAAAAATAAAACTTGTCTCGTTTTGACGTGAACATGACACGACATTTATCGAACAAGGTTATCATATTTTTATATGAAATTCACAAGAAATTAGAATTAATAGATAAATGAAAGAGCGCTGTGCAAATTATAATGTAACAATGAGAAAAATTACTCACAAAAGAAAAATAAAAACTCATGTCAATGACAAAAATTACAAAAACAATGTCATCAAACGTAATATCATTGTTATTAAAGAAAGAACACAGATTCGCATTCCACCAAGCAAGATTACATTTTAACTCCAGCAATGAAAAAGTAATAAAACTCGCGAACTTTCGACGCCACGATTCCTGTACAATCTGTGACACTGAATTTTCACAACAAAAAAAAAACAAGATGGCGTAATGACAGCTGTCAACACGTATTGTTGTTTTATGAGCAAATTACAAAGACGTAATAATATGTAGAGAGTGCATGAACATGTTTTATGTTTATTTAAAATATAAAAAAGTTCTTCTGAATTTTTTATAGTTATGCAAAGGAAATGAGTATGACACTCGTAGATTTGGCGGTGTGCCATAAATTTTGCACTTCATTGTATTTTTTTTTTCTTTTTTTTAATATGCGTTTTTTATTGGTATGAGAGTTCTGTAAATTATGTAAGTGCTCATTTAATTAGTTCTAGATGTAATTAAGGTTAGTATCGGCGAATATTTGACGAGGAGTGACGTCACGGACGCCGGTGACAGCTGACTTGTGTGTGTCGCCTCGGGTCAAATAAAATAAAACTACTGTTTTATTTGATATATTTTATTCGCGAAAAGTTAATTAGTAGATAACTGATTACATATATTGTGGACATTAACAGTAAATCAAATTAAACGAGCTTAGGATTAGTTTAGTACGAGCCCCAGTGTTACGGTGAATAAATCTACCCTGTTGATAAAAAAAAAAAAACCTTAACTTCTGTGTGAGTGTCGTGTGTGTGTTATTCCAAATACTGCAACACAAAATATCATGGCCAAGTGCGGTGGATGTGGCCAATTCATTGCTGCAACAGCTAGCATTCGGTGTGGCAAGTGCGCGGTCTGCTACCACCGCGCCTGTGTGGGAGTACCGCCTTCAGCAACCCCCTCGCCTGCATGGCTGTGTCCTGGATGCAAGGCGAAACTTCCCAAGACCGACAATTCCGCGACACCGGTTAAAGGTGCAGCAGCGGATTGCTCGGTCCCAAATAGTCCCCCCACCGTCACCCCCTCCGTGAGTCTGGATTTGGCGCATGAGATCAGAGCTTTCAGGGAGGAGTTAAGCGCTCTAAGAGTTGATATACGTGAGCTACGGCAGGAAAATGCACAATTTAGAGCTGCCATAAACGGTTGCAATGAGCGGCTGGACGCGGTAGTGCACAGGGTGGATACCCTCGAGCAGCGGTTCGAGGCGAAGGACCCCTCATCGTATGACCATCTGGAGGAGACGATCGCTGACTTAAAGCTACAACTGAACGAGCGCGATCAGGAACTTCTGTTGAATGACGTCATCGTGTCGGGTATACCGGAGTCGAACACCGAGAACCCGGCACACATACTTAAAACACTGTCGCTGAAGCTGGGGGTCGACCTTGACGATAGGGACATAGTAAACGTCGAGCGCCTCGGCATGGTACGTCGTAATTTTATCGCCGGTTCATCCCAGCACGACATAACGGAGCGTCCGCGGCCGCGCGCCATCGCGGTGCGCCTTTCTCGCCGTACGGTGCGAGACAAACTACTTCAAGCGGCGCGCGTGCGCCGCGGCCTCACCACTGCGGATCTCGATCTACACGGCCAGCCTCGGAGGGTGTTTGTAAATGAGCACTTGACTCGCTCTAATGCAAAGTTATTCCATCTAGCTCGAGAGGCTGGGCAGCGTTCAAAGTACAAGTACGTGTGGACAAGGGAGGGACGCATCTACGTGCGGAAGGAGGACGGCGTCTCTGCTGTGCGCATTCGCTCGCACGCAGATATCATAAAAACTTTTGGGGACGGTTATGTTTGATGAGTGTGGGTGTTAATAGATATTTCTGTTCGGTTTGTGTATTTCACTTTGTTTTCATTTTTTTGCTGTATACCCTTTATCTTGTTGACGACCTCGCGATATGTGCTACGTTACATTTATTTTATATTAGTTTTTCTGCTACGTCATGTTGTAAATTGGCATCCTCGGCAATGTATGTATGGGCTAAGGTTGGTATTCCTTGCAGTGACGGTAAATTTTATTGTATCCAGGCTTATGCAACCTTACTTATTATTGGATATTTTTATGTATATGCATATGTGCCTGTGTTCTTATTATACAATGTTTCTATCTTTCTTTACTCATATATTATTTATAAATCTTTAAGTAATGGCTATATTATAATAACAATTTTTTTTAACATAAATTTAGATACTCTCGCAGGGAAAGTATATAACGATTTTTGTTTATATTTAATCCATGATATAAAATGACCCCGAAAGAGTTTAAAATTGGATTTCTTAACGCCGGGTCTTTAGGTACAAATCATGACGAGTTTATAGCCGCAGTGGATCATCATGATGTTGACATCATGGCGGTAAATGAGACATGGCTCAGGGCGGGGGAGGAGGCGCGCGCGCCGTCGGTTCCCGGCTACCGGCTGCGGCATGTACCGCGTCCGCTGAGCGTGCGCGGCGGCCGCGGCGGTGGTGTCGGATTCTATATAAGATGCGGAATGAACGTACGGGCGCATTCCCACCCTACTGACCCTACACATACGTCGGTCGAACAGATGTGGCTCGTGTTTACCATAAACGGTATTAGGCTTGCTATAGGGACCGCCTATCGGCCGCCGTGGTTGGATGTGGATACGTTTCTGGACGCACTGACCATGTCTGTAAATTCGTTAACATTTTGCGACTACACTGTGTTGTTGGGCGATTTTAATATAAATTTTATGAACACTTCTCCACCTGACAGTAAATTAAACAAATTGCATATTTTTTTAAATTGCCTGAGCCTCAATCAGTTAATAACATCACCTACACACTTCACAACCAACAACTCGAGCCTTATAGATTTGGTGTGTACAGACGCAAGAGTTACTGATGTCAATGTGTACCCAATACAAGCTCTCGGTGCTCATGCATTTATTACAACCACTCTTCGTATAAAAAGGGAAAAAATCCGGCCTCGAATTGTAACTTACAGGGATATCAAAAACATTGACTTAGAAAATCTGAAAGACGCTCTGGACGCGATCGACTGGCGTGGGGTGGTTTCTTCTCATGACGTGGACTATATGGTATACTGTCTGACAAACAATTTACTGTGTCTGTTTGACACATTTGCACCTCGCAGGAGTGTTAGGATGAGGGATAGATCCTATCCATGGATTACAGAAAACATTAAACTCATGATGAAACTTCGAGACAAAGCCTATAGGGAATTCCGAATTAATAACACATTAACTCACAAAAAACAATACTATACGGATTTAAAGAGTCTAGTAACTAAATCAATTTACCTTGAAAAAGTAGCCTACTTCAAATCAAATATTAATAACAACATCAAACATCCGAAGAGGCTTTGGAAGAATTTAAAATCCACCTTGCTGCCTCTAAAGTCTGATAATGAACTACCCGCACATTTCAATGACCCAAACAAAATAAATGATCATTTTTTGAATATTCCCGGCGATACAATTACTTCCCTGTCGACTTACACCTACTATGAATTTCATAGGTTCTCTGATTGCATCCTCTCCCTTAATACAACCGATGACATGAAGATTCTAAGGATAATAACCAGCCTAAAATCAAATGCTGAAGGTTGTGACCAGATAGCACTGAATATGTTTTTGTTAACAATACCACAAACTTTGAATGTCCTGACGCGTATTATAAATGCCTCCATAGTAACGGCAACTTTTCCGGGCGCCTGGAAATTGGCTAAGGTACGTCCTCTACCCAAAGTAAACAATCCTGGCGAACTTAAGGATTTAAGGCCTATTAGCATTCTACCCTTAATGTCTAAGGTCTTGGAAAGGGTGGTAAACGAACAGGTCTCCAAATTTATAGAGGACAGCAGTGTTCTGCCGGATGCGCAATCTGGTTTTAGGAGGGGGCGTAGTACGGCCACGGCTTTGTTGGACGTCACTGACAATATACTGGCTGCGCAGGATGAGGGTTTGTGCACTATATTGGTCCTGCTGGATTTCTCGAGGGCATTTGATGCTATCAATTTATCCCTATTACTCTCTAAAATGGCGTACTACGGATTTGACATACCAACAATTAAATGGTTCGATAGTTACCTCAGCAACCGTGCGCAGCTGGTTGAATTTCGCGATGCTAATGGATCTTTCTTGGCTTCTGAGGTGAAACCTGTGACGAAGGGAGTTCCCCAAGGATCCATTTTAGGGCCTACCCTATTCCTATTATATTGTGCTGACATCATCAATATAATAAAAACATGTAAATATCATATCTACGCTGACGATATACAGATTTACTTGTCCTTTAGACCGGAAGAATACGCGAGTGCTGTGAATTCAATTAATGAGGACCTCGACAGGATAGTGAACTGGTCAAGCAATAACTGCCTCATCTTAAATCCATCCAAAACAAAATTCATGCTTTTCGGAACAAAGACGCAACTTTACAAGACTCCTAGTAATATTAACGTTCTCTTGAGGGGTCAAATCATTGAGCGTGTCGATGAAGCGCGAAATTTGGGTCTGATAATGGATCAAGGTCTTAGGTTTGAATCTCACATCTCAAACTGCGTCAGAAACTGTTTTTACCGCCTGAAGATACTATACAGAATGCGTCCGTATCTAAGTGAGGAGTTGCGTGTGCGGCTGGTTGAGTCGTTGGTTTTATCCAAGCTAAACTACGCTGACGCGGTTATTGGACCTAGACTGTTTTCACGCACTGAGCGATTGATACAGAGGGTTCAGAATGCCTGCGCGCGTTTTTGTTTTAAAATTCCACCTAGGAGTCACATAACACCTTACTTAAACAAGTATAATCTTCTAAAAATGAAGTCCCGACGTAAGCTCCACCTGGCATGTCTCCTCTTTGGTGTGATTAAGTATAAGTGTCCAGTATACCTCTACTCGAAGCTCTCGTGGGTGAATGCTCATCGGCAGCGGGAGGGTAGGCGGTGTGCACAACAGCTGGCTATACCGCAACACAAATCGGCTGCTTTTCGGGGTAGTTTCCGATATGCAGCTTCTAAGTGCTGGAACAACATACCTCCGCCAATCAGGAACCTGCAAAGCCCATTCACTTTTAAACGAAAACTCAAGGAGTTTATTATTAATTCTCAAATTGAGAATGAATCTATAAATATTGACATTTCGTTTATTTAATCTAACACTTATCTTTCTTATATATATTTTTTTTCTTTTTTGTTTAACTGGGTACACAAATTATGTTTTCACATTTTCATATTGATTTATTTATATAATTATTTATTAACTTCAGTATTATTGTTATGTAGCATATCTCGAAAACTCACCCTTGGGCCCCTTGTTGCCGCAGTGCTGGCGAAGTACCGACTTGTCTCTCGCTTCAACTTCGCGCAATGAGTGTCGGGCTGCGCGATGGCTTCACGACATTCCCACACTAATTTTATTGTCGTGATACAGTTTATAAATTTTTTTTATTTTTTTTTTCCTTCGGTGACGGTACACGTTACACTTGTTTATGTATGCATACTCATTTTTATTCATTTATTTATCGCACAAGGTACATACTTAGAAGTCTGTTTTTATTCTTCCTTTTATTTTATTATTATCATTATATTTTTTAACATGTGTCTTATGTAACTATTTTATTTTCCTTAAAATTATTCTTCGTTGCTTCCGTCCGTGTGTCACTGCAGGGGTGCCAACTGAAAACCAGTGTTGGGTACTTACTGTGCCCAGCTCAAACTGAGTTGGCGAGCCCTTTCGTCGCGGACATGCTGCCACCCTGATTTTTTTATTTTTTTCTTTTTATTTTGCTTTTTTATGTTTTTTGCATTCATTGTTGTTTTATTTTTTACTGCTGTTTTTTGTATGTTATTATTGTTTTGTTCTTATTGTTTTTTATTTTATTTTATTATTTTTTTGTGTGTGTGTGTTATTCGGTGGTCCATGTCGGTGGCGAATAAATTATTTTTCTTTCTTTCTTCTTTCTTTCTTTCTTATTTTATTGACTGATTTATATTTCATTAACTTCTCTATTGTCCTTTAATATAAATTGGTGTCTTTCTATAACGCTAATTGTGTTCTAAATCAAATACTAATTTAAATAGCTACTGAAAAGAAGTATTGAACAAGAATGTTCCACATTGAAATTTCGTATACATGCCTCAATTAATGTAAATTACAATATAAAGTTATGTGAATATAATGACTTCATTTTTATTGTAGAATAACCAAAAACATAGCATAACACTACACCACACCTTTTATCCCAAAAAAGGTAGGCAGAGGTGCACATTACGGCATTTATTGCCACTATACAATGTAACGCCCACTTTTCACTACTTATGTTAAGAGTCCCATGTAATAGGAGGTGAACCTATTGCCATATACCGAGCACAATTCCAGACTCCGTGCTACTACTGGGAATGATTTAAAAAACCCAGTAGTACTTTGCCCGACCCGGAAATCGAACCGACGAAACTTAAACTTGACATAAAATAGAATAACTTCGATACCTTTGCAAATAGATAATTAAAGATATTACCAAAGTATTACTTACTGAAACAATAATACATAAAATTGGTAACTTAAGTAAACTATAGAAATAAACACTTTCCGACCAAACATTTAATTTAAAAAACTTTGTCTACAAATGCCTCGTTTTTGTCTACATTCAAACAAAATGTCTATAAAATTTTAGTTTCAGTTCGAACAAATTATACGTCTTATTCAACACAGCACATCAAGTTACCTTACATAGTCAATAGATTCTTAACTTTAAAACTATATGCTAAGGGTTTAAAATCTATTAAAGGAACGTGATAGATTAGTATAGCTTTATGTGCTGGTATACATATATTTTTCTATACAAAATGCGCGTGTCTGAGTCACATTTAGGCGAAATGATCACGCAGCCAGTATTTCCTATTAATTTTATGTCTACCGCTGAACTTTGAACTTGTCAGGTCGAAAAGTTTTTACCAAGTGTATTAACGTAGGTAAAATACATTAGGTCACTAATGTTACCTGTAAAACTATTGTGATTGTTTTCAATGTAAGTTAACATAAATGTATTAGCTTTTTTAACATTACATTACATAACATCATGCCTTTTATCCCCGAAGGGGTAGGCAGAGGTGTACATTATGCCAATGTACAATGTAACACCCACTTTTCACTATTTATGTTATGAGTCCCATGTAATAGGGGGTGAGCCTATTGCCATATACCGGGCACAATTCCAGACTACGTGCTACCACTGAGAATTTATAAAAACCCAGTAGTACTTTGCCCGACCCGGGAATCGAACCCGAGACCCCTTGACCGGCAGTCGCACTTGCGACCACTTGGCCAACGAGGCAGTTTTTTTAAATTCATTTAAATTTTTAAATTTCAACGAAGTAGCTTTTTTAAATGGGTAGCAAAAGTCTATATTATTTACAAATGGACATTGACTTTTGACCAGTTGTAGTCATGATTCTTATATAACAAGGGATAAGCCTATTGTCATACACCCAACATAATTGGGATGCTGACAGGGTATGAAAATTAAAAATATAATTAGTCCGTAAGTTGGGTAATGAGAAAATATTATACACGTATTTTTTTTTATTTTGTCGTAATAAAATAAAATAATACTTAGATAAAACGAATCAAAGTTTAGGAGTGGGGGCTAAAACGTCATTTCTGTGTACAAAATGTACATAGAAATGACGTCACGCCACATTTCAAATCAATATTATAACGTCGAAAGTATTCGTTTCTGTAAGAAAATAAAAAATACGTGTCTAATGATTTAAAATAATCTACCAGACGGACATTAAAATAAAAATTAGGCATCTACTCTATTCTAAACTTTGTGCTTTAACAAATATTTCCTTGGAAAACTTAATGTTTTTTTTTTAATCCGTATTTATTCTTATTTATATTTAACCGTGTTTTGCCCAACTCTTATTTAATTTTGTACTTAAATTATATTTCGTACAATTCCTGGACTTGACATCACTCAACCAACGAGATAAGTAGCAGATAGGTAAAAACACAACTACGAAGTCTTTAGAGTAAAAAAGCATCAGTCAACTGAAACGTCATGTGTGCCCATAATTTTGGCCTCCACTGTATAATATAAATAGACCATGAGTGACATACTATTACAAGTCCACAAGTCCAGAAGTCCACTTGATTACTAAAATCATTAATCTTAATGAAACAAATGACTGTTCCGTAGGTACATACCTACGGAACTAAAAATGTTTTGACAGAACCCTAAACTTCTATAATTAACTACCATAGACCAAGTTGCTAAGTCAATATCATAAAACGTTACAATTTCAACTTTATAGCTAAGAACATAGAGTTTATTGATGGTATTGTAATCAAATGAAATTCAGAGCCTCCCACGAAAGTAATTTGAGAAGCAATGTAATGCATTTTGAGCTTTATTTTGTATGGATTATGGTTCATAAATGAAAGTTCGTTTAGTTATTGCATATAAACTTTGCAGGGAAATTCGTTTTTGTTTAGGATATGTTTTAGGGGTTATATATATGATTTTAGTTTATGTACCGTGAATCAATATAACATATTGTACTTGTGTTCGTTTTATCGT